ATTTTTTAACTCCTTGAAAAGATAGTTTTGTTCATTAAATGGTTTATCATTCCAGTTTGGTGCGCAATTCCCCGGCTATTTCATTTTGGTTTGACTTAAATATTAATAGAAGTCTCCCCTTAGTAATAAAATAACCAAAATAATGACAAAAATTCAATAGTTTATGTATTAGATGTTTAGACCATATACAATGTTTGGTTGTGATCGAATTCGAATTACATATTTACAACATGTGGGTGTGTTTGGGCCTGTTTGAAGAAACTCAACGATCATATTGTTGGCTAAATTTTGGCCAATATTTGGCCCTTCAATTTGAGGCAGCATCATGAATTCATGATGTATGAAGAATTGGAGATGCTTTTTCGTCCCTAATGGTAAACAGTTGAATGTGATTCACTACATTAGAAAAAAAGTGACAAAAAAATAAACCTACTCGATGGTGATCCAATCAAGTGGGTTAAATTTACCCCATTAAAAGTCTTTGTTTCATACGGAGAGAAAAACTCTACATGATCCTATTAACAAGGATCTTTCGACATAGAGGTGTAAACATCGATCCGGTCAAGCTTAACAAGCAAAACATTTCAATACTCGAGTTCAACTCAATAATATAATCGAGTAGCTCAAGCTTAGGGATGTAAACGAACCGATCCGAGCTTCACTCTAATTGATCCAGGCTCGTTTTCAGACCGACTTGTTACTTTTTCATATTTTATTAATGTATAAGTAATGAATAATAATAAATGAAATAAAAGTATATTATAACAAAAGCTCGTTAAAGCTCGTGAGTGTAAACGAGTTTGTAAGTACAGGTTCGAGATCAGGCTCGTTTATTAAATGCGTTTTATTCTAGGCTCGGGCTCATTTCGAACTTTTAACGATCTAATCTTGGGTAGTTCGGCTCGTTTACATCCATACTCAAGCTTGAGCTCGACTTGAATCAAGTCGATATTGAGTATTTTTCGAGTTGGTCTCGAGTATCTCACGAGCTAGCTCGACTCAGTTACACCCCCTAGTAACAGGCAACTCCAGTTACCCTATTTCAGGCATGAGAGCTTTAGAAGTTAATTTCCATGAAATGGAAACAGGGCATCAGTTCCATATGAAATGATTCTTAATGTAATTAGAGAAAAAAACCATACATATTACATATATCCATATTAGTTTATTATTAATAAAGTAATTATATGAAATGATTCCTGATGTAGCGAATCCATAGCAAGGGCTGCAATCCACCAATACCACATCAATTATGATTTGTAAGGGACAGATCATAATTGAACTTTTGTGTAATAAATCCTACAAGATATCCAAATTGTCAATATATGATAAAAATGCTTCTATGAGAAGACGAAATAATGGAAAAACCAAATCAAATAATGAACTTGGATAAGATTTATCAGAAAGATGTAATAAGCATTCACGTATGTGTGACAAGTTTGTTAAAAAAAATAGAATGCTAGATAAATAAACCATAAAAAGAGAAAATTTAGTTTGAACAACATTAAAATCAAAGTGGATCAGAGTACACATCAAAAATCAAATAAGAACCTGTATCTTTCATTTAATCTGGACCAAAAATCTAACCCTGAGGAGGTGGCGGCAAAGAAGAAGCAGTGGCGGCGAGCTGGTGGGTGAGGCCGAACGTGAAACAAATCGGCAAACAAATTAAAAACCACAGGTACTTTTCATGATTAAAAGAAAAGTTAAGAGTTCTCAATCCATAATTAGGAAACCACAAGGACCATTTCTAAAGTTTAAGATTTGAATATTATTATAATAACTTATTATACTTACGTGTAAACCATTTTGCACAAAGAGACGACATGGGATGCCACTTGATATACGTTTTTTTGACATTACCACACCCACGATTGTCTAAAGGAGCCCATACAATCATATCTAAGTTGACAAGCTTTAATGGATGTTTTTTATGACTAAAATGATATCTATCTATATCTTCTCTCGCTTTTATGATATCCATAGAGTTGAAAATCAATGGCAATTGAAAGATTTGTACCCTTAACTTTAAATAAATGCAGGAGATACATCAATTATACACAACTCGAGAAATCAAGTTACTTCTTTTGGATTGCTTTGCTTCCAAGTAGTCTTAAAAAATGTTGTTTAGAACATTCTTTAATTATAAATACCAAGTTAGCATGATGCATCTCACATACAAAATGTCATCTCTTCTTCCATATGGAATTAATTTCTTTCTTGTATACATGTACATTCAAAATTGACATATATCTCAGCTAGCTCAAGGGTTGCATTTTCGTTGTTTCTAGATAGGATTATATCAATAACATTTCAGCCATATAACCAGTTATATTTACACAAGATTTCGGCCATATAACCAATTCATTAAAATGTAGACAACGTTTCTCAACTTTGTCTGCAATGTTTAGTCCCACTATCCGAGATATGAAGCCGAAGCATACATTTTGTTTGACATTTAGGGGTTGTTTGTTTTTTGTTTGCACATCTGCGTGACATCTTTTGTATGTGTCGCGCAGACCACGCGCAAACATAAGGGTTCGCAGTGTGTTTTTTTTCGAAAATCCACAGACATAGAAACATCTGCGCGAGCTGTTCATGCCACAGACTTGGCATTAAGTCCTGCACACTTTATTCAAAAATAAATAAATTACGCATCTTATTACTCTCGACATATCAGTCTCTCCTTCCTTCTCACCATTCAACCATCCGTGATTCACCGGTCGTCTTCCTCCTCTCGCTGTTGTTGCCTTCCAGATCGGTGGTCGTCCTCAACAGTCGTGTCATCGACGTCTACAGTCGCCGCCGACATCCATTACTACATCCTCACAATCGATGACTCCCTTCACTATCGATTTTCTTCAGCCTCATCTCCTCCTCTTGTCGTCGAACATCTCCAGGTCTACGCCGCTGCTACCTTGTCGAACCACCGGACCAGAGGATCTCCTGAAAATAGGTTATTTTTTTAGTTTCTGTAATTTATGCTAAATAATGCTGCAATTTGTTGTAAAATCCATTTTAATGCTTAATGTAGTGTCTCAGTTTCTCCTTGGAGTTCTAAGAATAGAATGAAATTTAAATTGAAGGTGATTTGGTGGTTAACATGAAGATGTTCATATAATCTACCATTACAGATTTGCCCACCATATGTTTGATGAAATGCTTGCGAGAGCTTGAGGTCTTTGAAAAATAAAGATCGGTTGATTGAGTTGAAAAATACATATTTTCCTTCCTATCAGATGAAGATTGAAGATTGATGAAGATTGGTTGATTGAGTTTCAGAGATATAAACAATCCCATGAGTTCAAGCTATTAGTTTAATAGTCGGTATGTGTATCTTTCTTCACATTCATTAGTCTCCAACATAATTTTACTGTAAATTGCAATTACATTGTTGATACATCTTTCTAAATCGTCATTCCGGAAAGATCATTGTATAAATGCTAAAGTAACTTTTGCAAATTTGATGTTTCTCAAATTGAGAGTGTGATTAAGGAGTACTCAATATTTTGCTACATTTATTAGATACGATGAGATAATGGTTGAATATATATTGACCCCACATGATTTTAACCACTTGCAATGTCAACAGAGGAATGAAGTTTGGCTTGCCGGTTTATTTGCTCATGGTGGTGGGCAAGGGATGATTGGTTGGTGGAACATTTGTTTTTTTATTGTGTGTGATGTAGGTTTGAATTCAATTAGTCCATTGGTTTTGCTAATCTGTGTCCGATTGCCAACGAAAACATACTTTGTATTACTTATTAAAAAAACATTGCATTGAAGTTTACATTCTTGATGGTAACTTTGTAAACTTTGGTTTGGTTAAATATGATTTTTGTTTTCATGTGCATCATTTAACTGTTTTATATCTAGAAATGTATTGTAAAAACAACATATAAGATCATGGTTATTAAGATTATGTGATCTTAAACAATTAAGATATTGGGATCTTAATATCCCACTTAATGGTAATAATATATTTTTTTATGCTGAAGATGTAATATTTTTAATTATTTTAACAATCTACAGACTTTTAAAAATAAACAGTCTTCTTCATACAGACTACAGACATTTTGTCCACCACTTCTTCTGCAGCTTCTTCTGTAGATGCAGATATGGTTCACAGACTGCAGATATTTTACCTCTTAAAAAACAATCATCACCTTAGTTTTGTTGTGACATAAAGTTAGTCTAAAATACATCTAAAAGTTAGTCTAAAATACATCTAAAATGTTCGATTTTGGAAATTTTTTAAGTCGGTCTCTAGTATCTCACGAACTGGCTCGACTCAGTTAAAACCCTAGTCACAGTTACACCCATTGTCACAGGCTACTCAGTAAGTCCCTCCTGTTACTATGTGATTCGAGATGTACTAAACTGTTGCATAACTCACTAAATTAAGAAGAACTCCATGAAGAATGGTACAACTTGCCGATTGATTAGTAATAACTTACCCAAAGTCCCGGATACAAATGAAGTTGATGATTCTGAACTGCCACCAATTGTATCCAAACCAAATGCATTAAGTCACATACATAATAACCCGATGTTCCACTACCATATCCATATTGCAATATGTAAGTGAACCAATCACTGAAACAAATGGAATCTGATCAGATTGAGAACATATCCATAGCAAGGGCTGCAACCCACCCATACAACATCAATTCTGACAGACCCTAATTGAACTTTTCTGTAATAAATCCTACACGATATCCAAATTGTCAATATATAAATGCTTCTATGAGAAGACAAAACAATAGAAAAACCAAATTAAATGATGAATTCAGATACGATTTATGACAAACATGTAACACTGTTCAGTCGGTAAAAAATTCTTTGTTTTTATACATTGATTTGCATCGATCATCATTAATTTACCTAATCTTTAATCGTAGTTTCATGAGTCACGAAATCAAGTAGAAATTAGGTCAAATGTATTGGGAATTTTGTATAACGTAAATGTCAATAACTGGAAGTCAGAGGAAACATCATCAAAGTCCCCAATTTACTGCTCTAATTCCGAAACTTTATTTGCAAATATTAAGACAAAAATGGCAGAGAAGCAAAGAAGAGAAAAAGATGAAGGTATTGATAATAATGGAAGCAGGAGATCAAAAATCAAATATGGAAGACAAAAACTCTAACCCTGAGGTGGCGGCGCCAAAGAAGAAGCAGTGGTGGCGAGCTGGTGGACGAGACAATACGTGAAACAAATCGCGAAAAAAATTAAATCACAGGGGCCTTTCATGATTAAAAGAAACGTTAGGGGTTTTAAATTCAAAATGTGAAAAACATAAGGACCATTTATGAAGTTTAGTGATTTGAATATTATTATAACGTTATTATACTTGCCTGTAAACGATTTTGCACATGCGGCGTGATTTTGCACGCAGATTTCAAGTAATATAAGAATCCTAATTTGCCCCACTACACCGTTGTTTTGTCTGTTGTGTATTATCTATATGTATGGTTGTTTTCATGGTGTTGTGAGAGAGAAACATGGAAATGGCCGATGAGTTGCAGGAGGAGAGACGTGATGTGCGAAGATGGGGCGATTATGGTCGTGAGGTAAAGAAGATGGGTCGAATCGCCGTACCCATGGTGGTTGTGGCGGCGTTGCAGTATTTGATGCAAATGGTGGCGGTGATAATGGTGGGACATGTTGATCAACTATCTTTGTCTAGTCTAGCCATTGCCACCTCTCTAACCAATGTCACTGGTTTTAGTCTTCTTGTAAGTTTCTTCTTTATTTATTTTACTTTTAAATGGTTATATATTTATATCCTTTCTATAAAATAATTATTTTTGAATATTCAAAAAAAAAAATAGTCAGGACTTGTGGGAGGGTTGGAGACGCTGTGTGGACAAGCTTTTGGAGCCAAACAACACGACAAAATCGGGGTCTACACATGCAGTGCCATAATCTCGTTGCTATTGGTTTGCATCCCGATCTCCATCTCTTGGATTTTCCTAGACAAGTTCCTTATTCTCATCCACCAAGACCCTCAAATCTCCCATGAAGCCCGAAAATACTCCATCTACCTCATTCCAGCTTTATTTTTTGGTGCCATTGTTAAACCTCTTGTTAGATCGCTACAAACTCAGAGCTTAACTTTGCCATTGTTGGTGAGCTCAGCACTCGTTTTATGTTTCCATGTCCCTCTTTGTTGGGCTCTGGTGTTTAAGTCAAAGATGGGAGGCGTTGGTGCTGCTGTGGCATTTAGCGTGTCGAATTTGTTTTATTTGATATTGATTGTGTTTTATCTCAAATTCTCATCGATGTGTAAGAATACAAGTGTAACTATCTCTATGGATGCTGTTCTTGGTATCAAGGAATTCTTCCGGTTTGCTATCCCTTCGGCCGTTATGATATGGTAAAACTATAGCATGTTTTTAACAAAAAAAAAGTTTTGATAGATTAGATTTGTCGTTTAAAAAAAAACACAATAAAATGTTTTGATCACCGATTTTGATAGAAATTAATGCGTACATTTTGTAGTCTCAAATGGTGGTCACTGGAAATTCTCATCTTGCTCTCCGGTTTGCTACCGAATGCAAAGCTCGAAACATCGGTTCTTTCCATATGGTAAACTTTCATTAATTACCATCTTTTCCTCTCTAAAAATCATGAACGATAATCATATAATCATATGTCACAAGTTGTAAATTAATATTCCATTTCTTGTTTCTATTAGCCTAACGATCTCCACATTACACTTCACTATACCCTATGGATTTGGAGCAGCCGCAAGGTATTATATATATAATCTCACACCATTAAAAATCGTTTCTTCAAATCAAAGAAAAATCTTATTCTAGAATCTGATTTGTAGCACTCGGGTTTCAAATGAGTTAGGGGCTGGGAACCCTCAAGCAGCCAAGCTAGCTGTTCACACAGTGATGTTTGTAATTGTCATTGAAGCTATAATAGTAAGTGCGACTGTTTTTGGTTGTCGTCATTACATTGGAAAAGCTTTCAGCAATGAAACCGAAGTAGTGAGTTATGTTGCATCAATGAGTCCTTTTATATCCCTTTCCATAATCACAGATAGCCTACAAGCAACGATTTCTGGTAAGTGATCTTTTTATTTCTAATTTGTAACTACAAAATCGTTGTTAAAGTTTCATCATGGTTATAGGAATCGCTAGGGGGAGTGGGTGGCAACATATAGGAGCTTATGTGAATCTAGGGGCATTTTATTTGTTTGGGGTCCCATCCGGAATTGTTCTTGGGTTTCCTGTACATTTAAGAGCTAAGGGACTTTGGATTGGAATAGTGATTGGATCGATAATACAGTCGACGTGTCTGTCTCTTGTAACTGGACTCACAGATTGGCAAAAACAGGTTCGGTTTTTTGAGATTTACTCATTTGTTTATATCGTTTTTCTAGCTCGTGTGATGAATATGGTTAGACAATTGTATGTGTAGGCAATTAAGGCGAAGGAACGAATTTCGAAAGTGTCATCTATTGTAGACGATGATATAGAGATAAGAGAATGAGTACCCATAGAAGAGCATGTTGTTTTGTAATCAGTTTTATAATAGTGGCCAATAGAAAACATGTCATTGTTAATTGTTATGATATGATCTAATGATATATAGTATTTAACAATATATAAATAAAATTTTAAACTTATCTGTTATAGTGATTTAGGGCTTGTTTGATATCCTTGAATGAAGGAAGGAATGGAAAACATAATTCCATTACTTCCGGAATATGTTGTTTGATTGATCGCGTGGAAAGGATAAAGGTATTACCGAATGAATGTGATTCCTTCTAAACGCGTGTTTTCGACTCATCACATCCCTTATTTTTTCATTCCTTCGCTCAAAGAATGAAAGTGATTGATGTTACCCTTGATTGGTTTTTCTCATCCTGACAAATACAATGAGTGTAATCTATGAAACTGTTATATGATATGTAAGCAACAATAATGTTATAAGATAATTGTAGGATAGTTATGAATAGATTACTAAGAGCATCCACAATGCATTGAACTCTATAGAGTTTAATGGATTACCTCATTGTTTTATATTCCATACAACTCTATCAACTTTTTTCTACAATGCATTGAACTTTATAAAGTTCAACAGAAAATTACAAAAACTAATTTATAGTATATATTTAAGAATTAAAATTTTTTCATTTTTCCCATTGAAGAGTTCAATGGTCATTGAACTCCAAATCTATTGAATGTCAACCTCACTATGGTAGAGTTTAATCTATTAAATGACAAATATATTTGCCACATCATTCAACTCTCCCATTAAACTCATCATTATAGATGCTCTAAGATATTTCTACTTATATCAAATTGTGCCGTCACAATCATTTTGTAACGTATAAGAGAAGTGAAAATTTGACATTACTTTTAGCATCATAAAACAATAACGTAAGGGAGAAAGTCCATCAAGAATAGTTTGATTACCACTGTGACTATGAAATAGAAATTGAAATATTAAGACAGATTTTCTGATGTGATAGCATATAACAGTTTGGCAGAAGTATTTAGGGACAAATGAGAGAAAGACAAACGGGGCCAAAAGAAGAAAACTTAAAACAAACTTAAAACAAACGATATATCATCGGAAAGCTCTCAATAGGCCGAAGCTCATGACATATGCTTCTCACTCGATCCAAACTTCCACTATTTAGGCCTCCGAATCGCAACTTCTCCTAATTTCATCCCATTTCAAAGATTTTTACGATCCCGTTTGAATGACATAATATGTCATTTCTTGAATTTTAAAATTTACCATTATTTATATAGCTGTTTTTTAAAATTTTGTTGTTAATTTAAATCCCCAAATTAGGTAGTACCTAGGGGAATATTGTTATTCCACAAATTAGCATAACACATATGAAAATGAAGCATAAACTGACGGTTCGGGTTTAGATTTTTCAAAAACTGAAAATTACTGTTTGGGTTCGATTTTGGGTATGTTAGAACCGAAAGAAACCGAACCGAACCTAACGGATTATATAATTTTTTTTGTATATATATATATATATAT